ATTTATTAATAATACATAATAATTGGATACATTTCAGGGGAATTATGCTAAGTCAACAAAGACAATCCAAAAATACTACATTATTGTATAACTTCATTAATACAACATTCTTGAAACGACAAAATTGGAAAAAATTGAAGGTAGATTAGTAGTAGTTGGGGATTGCCACTTACCCTCCAGGTAGGTGTGATTATAAAAGGCAAAAAGAGGGATCCTGTACTAAGTTTAGTTCTGCATCTTGACTGTGGTGGTAGTTGAATTTACACATGTGATAAAATTGTATAGAATTATTACACACACAAAGAGGATGGAGAAGAGAGAAATGAGTACAAGTAACACGGGAAATCTGAATAAGATGGGTGGGGTTGTATCAGTGCTAGTATCCTGGTTGTGATAGTGCACCACAGTATTGGGAATTGTTACCACTGGGGGAAACTGGGTAAAGGGTGGGTGCCCAAGATCTCCGTGTATTATTATTGTTTACAACTGCACGTGAATCTGTGATAATCTCAAAACACTTAAATATATATTTTTGAATGTGTGAATGCTACTGGGCTATATTTTTTTTTAAAAAAAAAGAAGAAGAAAAAAAAGAAGTACAATCCTCTTACGAACGCAAAGGCCAAGGGGCAGAAGGCCATTTTTTAAATTTTAAGAAATCACCTAGTTCACAAGTGCCACCTCCTTACTTTGCTGTCAGCGACGTGATGTGCTCTGCAGTGCCGGAATTCAGAGTTTGAGAGAGAGATACCGGTCCTGCCCTCTCGGTGTTCAGGTGTCTGTATAGGTGGGCGTTGGTGTGAGAATGAGACAGAGAAAGCGGGAGAGCGAGAGCTATGCCTCCCTTACTGTCAGGGAGGGTGGCCGGCTGATGAAGGTGCTGTGCAGAAAGCCGGGGAAGGGCTTAAAGAGGGTGCTAGCGCCTCGGGAACGCCCTCCCGCTGCACCCTACAGGAGGTCGTGGGCGGTGGCTGAACAGCCCCGGTGCAGTGCTTGAACTCCACCTTCCAGAAGGAAAGGTGAGTGGGGGACCCGGGCGGGAGGTGAGGCCTCCCGGCAGCGGCCCTCAGGCGTGTTGGGCAGTACGGCTAGCAGAGGCGGCGCCTGGTCTTGGATGCGGCAGCAGAGACGCCAAGGAGACTGAATGCAGGCAGCGAGGCGTAGCGGCCGCGGAGGGTGGGGCCGCCCGGAAATCCAGGCGGCGCCAGCCTTGTAGCATCTGCAGGCCGGGGGCGCGCACACGAGGGGCACGTGGGTGTGGAGGAACCCGCGCCGCAGGGCCTCCTTCCTGCAGCGCCGCGGCGGTCGAGTGCCGGCGCTGGAGGAACGGCTAGTGGGGTGCCTGCCCCGTGCAGGCGGTACCCGCAGCTCCGCACACAGCAGGCACAGCCAGGGACGGGGACCGTGGCCCAGCGCCTGGTGGAGCTCTCCACGCGCGTCTCTTTCCCGATGCCGGGGTGGGAAGCCAAGTGGCTTTGTCCGGAGATGCCAGGGGATGTGGGCAGGGGACGGAGACTTCCCAACTGGCCAAACCCTGGCTTGGGGGAAAGACTGAGGTGGTCATTGACCCGTGGGAGCGCCCTGGGGCTTCGAGGGAACGGCGCCCGCAGCCGAGCCCGGGAGACTCGTGTTGGGCACCCGCGGTGGCCGGCGGGTTCCACGTGGGTGGACCCCGAGCTGAGGGCAGCGGTAGGGTCGCGGATCGCGGACGTGTGCGCACCCTACTCCTGCACAAGGACACCTGCACATGGACCCGGGCTTCCACCCGCTCCTGGCTGGGTTGGCGCCGGGAGCGCGCAGGGGAGGGACGGCGGCGGATTGCGGGGTTTGGCGGGTGAGGTGGGTGAGGTGTGGCCGCGGGGGAGGGGGCGAAGGCACTAGAAGGCTGCGGCCGCGCTGTCGCTGCTGTTCCCACCGTCGGCGCGGGGCGCGGAGGGGGCGGAGATGTGTCTGCCAGTCGCACTGCGGTCCCTTGCCAGCGTTAACCTGCCCTAGGGGTGAAAAGAAAAGGGTCCATGTAAAGGAGAAAGGGCAGGCAGAGACTCTTGCTGGTTCCAGCAGGCGTGGAGGGATGTGGCCGCGGGGACCTGGAGTTTGGAGGGCAACGATGGGTGTCATAATGCCGGAGCTGACCCTGGGCGCAGCGGCGCTTCCACTTGGGTAGAGCTGCAGAGAACGTGGCCCGAGAAGGGGAGCTTCCTTAAATTGGACACATCGTGTGTGGTCCGAAACCTAGCATTTACCCCCTCCCACCCCGCTCCCCCAACCTCCAGGGTCCTAGCGGAGTCATTTAAGGGCGCAGTACCACCAGCTTCATTTTAGGTAAAAAGACCAATTCTGCACTTTATTAACCTCCTCGTCCCCAAGTCACCACGGGGCAGCTTTTCACAGCCCTAAGGCGTGGTCACTCCAAGCCCACAGCGAGTTGCTTGTGTCCTCGGCTTCTACTCCGCAAATCTCGGACGATGCCACGGGAGGACGCTGAAGGCAAAGGCTGGTGGGGCCGGGCGCCGGCGAGACTGCCGCGCTAGCACAGCTTCCGCGGGAGCCGAATGCGGACGGGCCTCGCGACCCCCTCCCGAGGGCAAACGGCTCGGCCCTGCGGGGACACTTGGTCAGTGTCACTCTCTCCCTACCGGGTGTCGCGCATTTTCTCCACAGAACGTGACCCCGTAGACGGACGAACTCGGAATCGGGAAACCCCGCCTGCCCTTGTCTAGTTTCTCTGCCCGCCACACCTCTGCCCTTCACTGCGGACTGCGCCGTGTGGGCTCCGGGACCGCCCCTGCACCTTCGCCCACAGCTCCCCATTCCCAAGGCAGCCGGAGAAGGATCTTTCCGAGTTACCTGTCTCACGTCAGCAGCCACACCGAGGCGGTCCCCCTCGCACCGCTCCCCAAGGGTAGAGCCCCTGAAAGTCCGAGGCTCCTGTGCCACGCACCCTCCCCCTTGCGGGGCGACCCCGCTTGTGCGTGTGTGTGTCACGCGTTTAATCGCACAGAGTAACTCCCAGACGTGCAAGACAAAGCATTTCAAGCAAAGATGGTCCAGAGTTCAAGTTGGAAAGCACATCTCGAGGCGCTGAATCTGTTCTCGCCGTCTGCCTCGGTCTCTGGGGCGTCGCATCCAGGAGAAGGGTTTTAAACTCTGAATCCCTGCCAGATCCGCTCGGAATTAGCTCTTCTGGCGGTGCAGCAACAAGTGGCCCCGCCGCCTCCCTTGTGCACCCGGAGGGACGACACCCTCCTCCTCTCCCAGCCCCTAGTCCTAACAGGAGTAGGTAATGGCGGGGAAAGGGGGAGGGGACGAGAGAGGGTAGAAGGAAGTACATATTTTTCAATTGTGAAATTGTCTGCGTGCTGTGCTCAGGGATTCTCTTGTCTCAATCGACTTCAATTTTAACGTGGCCGTAACGTTAAGATTAAGACCTAGAAATGAAAACGTACCCACCTTCCTTATTACAAAGGTCGTTTGTTGTTGTTTGTTTTTTAAGAACACCAAGTATCCCCCCTACGGACTTACACTTTGTTTATGAGATTTCTCCAACCTTGGTGGTTTGGAGAAATGAGGTGGGGGAGGGGAGGACCAAGGGCAGCAAGACGTCCACCTGGAAAATAAGATACTTACATTTAATAGGGCCGTTCCTTTTTACATAAGATGCTCCCCCACCCCCCAACAATTTACAACAGGTAAACTCTGAGCTTCCTCAAAGTTTATCTAGCGTTTATGCCCGTAGCTTTACGAATAAACTCCCTTTCCAGGTAAACCTGCTCATCCCTTGTCCTATGCCCAGCGAAGCCCAGGTACGATGGGTCAAGGACCCCCGGTTCCCACATTGTCTGAGTCACGTTCCAGTTGGAAAGGCCATCTTGGGCGAGGGACGTGTTGCCCGACTGGTCTAAATAAGGAAATAAAGTGGAGTACCAAAGAATCAAGGGCCTCTGTTTCTCCCCATCCCGCCACCACCACCACCGGTCCCCGGGCTCTGCTGAGCGCTGCGGCTGTCTTGGCTGGAAACTGCGTCCCCGCCCAAATCGAGCGCAAAACTCCCTTGGACAGAAGTTTGAAAGAATCCAGCGTAGAAACAGACTTATCCGTCCAATTTGGTTTTAATCAGTAATCATATAAGTAATCATATACCCACATAACCACCTAAGTGGAGAGCAGACGCCCAGATTCATGGTCCCCACGTGTTGCTGGAGTTGGCGCAGACGCGTGTGCGGGCATAGCGGCGGACGTGACACCGCATTTTCTCCGAATTCCTGCCATCTAGGGTGGTGTCGCCCCGAGAGGGGGCCGTGGGGAGGTGGGGAAATAGGCTGCGGAATCCACTTGCTCTGGGGGAGCACTTAAGGTTCAGAGCAGAGCGCAACTCCGGGGTGCTCTTGCACAGCCCCATTCTCCCACACCAGAAAAGCAATGCTCGTTATGGATGATTAATAGCCAGGCTTCTCCTGACCATGCGGCGCGTTCCTGCCGGCACCACTTAGTTGTTTTAATTTGACCTTTATTAGCCACGTGCTCCCAGAGGCTGCGAATTGGATTCGCACCACGATAACCGCCCTCTCCCCTTCCACCGGGTCGGCTTCCTGAGGAGGATAGGGGACTGCAGCTTCCGCGACGCCTCCTCCTTCTGCGTAAGGAGCAGGCCTGAGTTCCTCCACGTAATGACCTGGGAGCCCTCAGGCATCCTGGGGCCTGGTCGGAGTGTCTTCGGGCCCTGGAGCTGGGCGGTGTCTGCAGTGCACCGCCGTGAGTTTCTCTCGGGTACAATGTGCTGGTGTGCAGAGAGGAGGAAAGAAAAAAAAAAAAACACTACTCTTAAGTGGCACTGGCATCTATGAAGTGGAGGTGGTCTACACTGAGCGTGCCCTTGCCTGGAGGTGTAGGGGGCGGTTACTGCAGCCGAGGGGAGGGTACTGCGGCCAAGGGCAGGGCGGGAGGACAGTCAAGGCCGGCTGGCCGCGTGGGAGCCTTTCCTCTCCGGGTTCAGCAGCCGGCATCACCAGCACTGCGGCTCAAGGGGCTGGTAGGCTCTCCTGCACCCCGCGTGCTCCTCCGCCTTCTCTGTGTCCCCCGGCTTTTCCAGGAGGAAGATGGGGTGCCCATCGTGAATGGGGCGCGCTGGGCCGCCTGGCCGGGCGGTCACGTGTCCCCCCTCCCCCGCCACTGCGGCGGGAGTTCCAATCAGAGCTCGCCAGGGGGCTCCTCCCGGGCAGGAACCACCCGGCTCGGCGGCGGAGGGTGGGCCGCCGTCACCTGACCGCCCGCCCCCGCCCCCCGCGAGTAAGGGGCGGTGGTAGCGTCTGCTCGGTTACAAATGGCCCCTCCCGCCCGGCTCGCCCGCTCGCTCGGGCTCGGCGCGGACCCGCCTGGGCGTGCTCCTCCCGCCGGCTCCAGGCGTCCCACCGCCCTGCCCGGCGCCAGCCCGCGGTCCCAGCCACTCCTGAGGGTGCGCCGGGCACCCAGCGCGTAGGCTCACCCTTGGTGGTCGCCACGGAAGTCTGGACCGCCGAGGCGTGTGGCTTGTCTACCGGCAGGTGAGCGTGCACCGCGGGCGTGGGATGCTGTGGGTACAGTGCGGGGGACGTGTGGGGTCCTCGGATGCGAACGCGAATCCGTGCTATGCCCAGGTCAAGTTTGCGGAGAGAGTCCGAGGTGTCTGTCTCCTCGGCCTCCTCTTGATGCTCCCGCGGGTTGGGGGCTCGGACCAAAGCTTCGATTTGGGGGAAGGGCTTCAGGATGTTCTTGCCTTGAGATACTTGACAAAGGTTGAAAAGACACATCAGGTGGGAGCTGGTAGCTGCTGCTGACGGGGTGAGACAGGTGCAGTCGAGTGTGCATGCATATGTGTGGCTCCTGGTTAAGGGTCAGCTCTAGATGGGGAGAAGCCACTGCGACGGGTCATTCTGTCCTCAAGAGCCACTTAGATGCTGGAGAGTGAAATTGAGTGGCTCTGAGGTGGTCACTAGATGTTATGGCAGCAAACCAGTGACCCCCAGTATTTCTAATATGACCCTGTAGTAACAGGAGTGCAGATGGTTCAGTACAGAGTGTGAGGTTTTAAGGCACCCAGAAAAGATTCCTTTTACCTTATAACTTCTTGGCAGAAATTAGTATTAAAAGTGCTGAATCATGCAAAAAGATGAGGAAAATAATTTACTTCATGTTTTGGTAAAGTTTTCCAAAGCTAATAATATCTGCATTTTTGGATCAATGCTTTAAATTTAAGATGTAGGCACTAGGTATTTCAAATCATATTTTAAGACTGTGCCCTTGGCTTTATGACTATCGGTTGCTTTTTTTCCCTTTATGATGAGTTGTATCCATTCATTACTTCTTACCACTTTCACTACCCTCAAAACAAACAAAACCCCAGAAAACGAGACATGGGATTTTTATTTTTATTTTATTTATTTATTTATTTTTGGTGTGTTCATGATTGTAAAGGGAGTGGAGGTATCAGTCCTAGGAAATAAAAAATTCGTCCTCTGATGAATGCAGTGATGGGCAATTTGATCAATTTGATTTGTCATATGCCACTGAAGGGAATGTCAAGCTGATAACATGCAGACTGGAGAGAAAATGAAACAGGAGTTGCCCATTGAGGAAGAAATAAGCCCTTATCCAGTTGCACTCAGTGAAGGAGCTGGAGGGTAGTCCTTCCACATTGGAACCTGAGTCCTTGTTGGTGGAGGTGCAGTTTTTGATGCAAGTTCTGGGGTCAGACACCATGTAACATAAAGATGAATTTTTAAAAAAATCAGAGTCAGAATTAGTAAAATGGGTGTGTCCAGCGACAGCCTTTGCCCATTTACTCTGGGCTGCACTGTCTGAAATGCTCAGTGGCCTGCTGACTCATACGGAGAACAAGCATGGCTTAGCAAGATTGGATTTTACTTGTAGACTCTAAAGAACTGTACTTGTTAAAAAAAAAAAAAAAAAAAGATTTTTGAAAAGCATCATCGGAGACATCCATAATAGAGAAGCTAGTCTTTCTCATATCTCTTCTTCCAGGAGGTTTCTCCCTGATTCCTTGACTTGTCACCTTTATTTCAATACCTGTCATCCATGCTTGTGCACAGTACATTTGGTTTGACACAAAGGTTTTAATCTGAATCTTAACATGAGAAACAGTGGTACTCTTAGCAACATGATTATTTCAAAGGTATTTTTGAAGGATACTGAAAAACTGGAATATGAACGATTAATTGAGTTTTCTTTACAGCACAGACTCCCTTAACATTGCATGCAAGACCAGGGAGCCCCACCCTGTTTCTGAGCATCTGCATGAAAGACCAGGAAAGGAATTCGACAATTGCAGTGGTGCAGGGAGAGGCAGCTTCTAGGCTTGGGCATTACCTTTATTTAAATAATTACTAACAGTTTTGGAGGGTAGGCGTTAATCCATAGGCAGGTCTTGAAAAGCACAGTGTTACTTCTTTTCACCTGTCAGCTTGTTAAAATGTCCATTTAACTTTGATAGGTTGATTTTGATAGAAAAGGGATACCGATCGAGAGCTTCCAAATTTTAAGATCCTAGGGCTAAAAGGCATGATTGATTGGAAGAACACATATTAAAGCATACAGTGAAGCCAAAAAGAGTTATTTTTCCTTTGATATTCTTAATAAATTTTTTTTTTATAAAACTAAGTTTTTTAGAAAGAGGGGGCTCCTTTTTAGGCAATGCATGGAATAAATCAGCTTGTGTGACAGACCAGCACCTGGCATCTCAGTTTGAACAGAGATGCATAATTGGAGCAAGAAACAGATGAATGAGCTTACCTTTTACTGCTCGGTCCTTCAAACAGAACCCAGTCATTTCACATCAGATTAGAGGAAGGCCATTTCTACAACAAGACAAGGAGATTTCAAATCTTGTTTCAAATCTATGGGAAAGAAAATGTTTTGAGCTGCTCTGAAGAAAGGCATTATAAATTTACAGTTCATTATTATAGTTATGCTTATCCGCATCGTCTACTGCAGATAGCGGGTCTGACCAAGAAGAAAAGAGATAAAAGACTTTTTTTCTTTCCTTTTTTTAAGTCAAAATTTTCAAAAGGATCCCTACTTGGTTACCTTCCATTTTTTAAGGTAAATATATCATTTACAGAAGAGAAAATGATACCTTTTGCCTTGATGGCTAGAGTGAATTAATGCATTTTCAGACCTGAATGTTGTGACCAGTTAGCAGTATCTCAACAGTTCCTCCAGTATAACGTGATACTCTAGGTGAAAATCGCAGTTTCTGTTCTGAACTCATAATCTTAAGCTGCCGAAACTACCTTCTGCTTTTTTCCTGTTTTTTTTTTTTTTTTTCTTGTATTATCTTTCCCCTCTTTTAAATCCACAAACTACACCTACAAATCCTAGCACCTAGAAGGCTTTGAGAGTCATCAGGAACACACAATCAGGTAAATTGCCTGTGATTGCGGGTCATTCTAAAATCAAAATAGATTTCAGCAGCGGCTTCAAGAATCAAATTGGTAGGACGTCTCTGGTGCTTTGCTCAGATGCCAGCGCCCTAGCAGCCTGCTTTCAAAGAGGGTCTTTTCCTAAGATATGCAGTGATTATTTTGTGGAAATTAGCTCTACCCACTTGCACAGTTAATTGCAGTGTGAGAAGGTTCCAGAACAGTACCTCCTTGAGTTCGACAGTAAATGTGCACACATCATTGTATGACGAGCATTCCAGAACACCCACCTCCCAGTGAAGTAAATGTGCTGGCTAAATAAACACCTGGGCTGCTTTAGCCCACAAATGCCAACAAGTCTCATGTTTTACCACAAATGTACACTGAGCCTTTTTAGGACACTGCAAAGCCTTGTAGCATGGAAAGGGGCATCTGATGTCTGATTTCTTTTAGAGTTGGCCTCCAAGAATCTCTATTTTTCCATTTGAGGATGTCAGGTTATGAGTGTTTTGCGAGGAATTTGAAGAAAATTGTTTCTCATCCACTTATTACAAGGAATTGTAGAGTTAGTAATATCTTTGGCTTTAAGGATTTAAAAATTAATGATATTTTTGGGTGTGTGAGTGTTGGATTGAGGCAATAGAGAGTATCCTTTAGAAAACCATTTGGAAATTGCTTCTCCTTTAAAATTAGGTGACATTAAACACTTGTACATACATCTCTGCAAAATTCAAGAAATGTGCTTTGGTGTGCACATTGTGCCACATACACATGCATCCTACACAAACTGGAATTGCTATTTAGGACTGTTTAACTCTTCATTTTGAGGAGACTTAATTTGGGTAGTGGTGAGGGTTTTTATTTGTTTCTTCCCTAGTAGAAGTGGGCTCTGAATCTGTTGTGCTTAGGTATCTTAGTAGGTAACACCATCAAGAAAAGACAGTGAATGAATAGTTCTTATACGTAGATAAAGTACTTTTTTTTTTTTTTTTTTTTTTTTTTTTTTTGCAGTGTGTCATCATTTAGGTTGCTAATTTAAAAGTATTTCAGCTCTGGATTTTAGAACTAAAAATATCATGAGAAATAGTTTTCGTTCAGATGTAGCTCAAGATGCATCTCTCCGTTGTTCAAATTACTATGCATCCTCTTTGCTTCTCATGGAATTTGGAAACTATCCCAACTGCTAATAATCTAAACATTTTGGTCTTACAGGTGTTCTTTTGATCACAATGGATAGTGACTCTTCTCTTCTGCCTGAGAGTGGTTCAAAATGTAAGTTCAGTAAACTAAATAATTAAATATTAATAATTCTGAACATCTATGCAGAGCAGTTCTTCCCATTTTTCATTCCTTCTGCCTAAGGACTCTAGCTTCATAAATAAGATACGGGAAGTGCTATACCCTTGAGTAGGGAGTGGGGGGAGCCTAACCTAGATGAACATCTATTCACTACCCAGCAGTGTAACTTTATATGACTGCAATCACAGCCATTGATTCCTGTGCACCCCCACTGCCCCCATGTTATTTTCATGGTAATAGAATACGAACCTTTGGTGCCTGGGTAATGCTGAATTGACACTTCCCCAGATGTCATATGTTTCTGTGTGGCCCTGCCTGTTCTAATCTTCTCTTGGTTCAAGCAGATGGCTTCTGATATGTAGAAACATCCAGGCCCAGAAACAGAGGGGTTTTTTGTTTTTGTTTTGTTTTGTTTTGTTTTTGGGGGGGGTGGCCAGATGAAATCCTATGGCTACTGTCAAGCTACCTTTCTTACCGAATATACATTAATCAAAATGCTATAGCCCAGCTGATGATGTTTATGCTGTTAGGATCTGGTATACATAAATTATAAAATGGAAAGTGTTAAAGTGTACAGGAAGCCATTGCTGTTTCACGCAGAGTTTGAATGGTGAGGGATTTTACAGATTTCCCAGGGCTGGATCCACCTTTTCCATTTGAAGGATATCAAGTACTTCCAAGTATGGCTGTTTAAATAGTGAACTCTCAGTCTCTGAAAGGAACCTAGTGCTGATTTGGACCCCTCCCTTCCTCTTTAGAGATCTCAACACATGATTTAAGATATTTTTGAAAACTTCTTAGGCATTTGATGCATTTTATCAGTAGTCAGACTCTAGAAAGCTGATTTTTGTTAGGAAAAATATCTCTTCTACCTTCTCTTATCCCTTGCTTTTCTGTCTTCCTGTCTGTGCTCCCTTGCCCAAAATGTAGATTTTCATGTAATTCAGTTCACTAAATATCACTTCCATTTTTGCTTCTCTGCAGAGTTTATTGCTAGAGCTGCTAATAGACTTTCAGTGCAAATAGTATATTGATCACTTGAAATCTCATTTGAGCTTGACTGAATATACATAACGGGGTGTCAATCGGGGAAAAATCTCATAATAAATGGCAGGTGACTTATATTCATGAGGGAAAAAAGTCTTGGGCAGCACATAAAATACCATGTTTATTGTAGCATGACAGACTGATTTTGCTCGTCTCCATCACATTCATCTGGTGGGTGTTTAATAGCAAAGGCAAGGTTAGAATACCAAGATCCTGGAACCTTTCTTTCTTTGTTTATGTGGCAAGCATTTTTGTACACTCTATACAGTATAAGCATCTTCTAGAACTACAGCCAGCAAGAAAGATCTTTTCTACCTGAGAAATTCAGAAATTGCAAACAAATCTGTTTAAGTTGGTGTGTATTTAAAATCAGCTACTGATTTATGCAGTCCATATTTTTTAAATTTTTACCATGTGTGTATCAGTGCATACACTCACTGTATGCAAATATCATTTTCAGTGTGTATATGGGAGAGCACAGTATATTTAGAGAAAAGTCTGCTTGACATAAATTATTTTTAAGAACAACGGAGCAGAGGAGTAGCCATGCGTTAGGAAAGGCAAATCTTTTTTTTTTTTTTTTTTTTGTTTCCCATTGAATGATAAGTGAAGGAATTTCTCTTTTAAAGTTTTATATGTAATTCTTTAAAATCAATTTTCCTGATAGAGCAGTCATTACGGTGGAAGATATGTCTGGGAAGGTGATATTTTGAGTTGCTTTATACAGCTGACTTGATAGCTGACTTTATTGTGGCTGATTGTCTGGAAACATGGGGGTATCTATCATGTTAGCTGTAACCTTGCGTCATGCCAGGACAGTGTGGGGTACATCATGTTTTTCCCAGTCTTCTAGGTGGAGTGCAACTCAGCTTCCATCAGGAATTCTTCATCTTCTGTAAATGAATGAAATCAACTGGCTTTTTGCTAACAAGGTTCTAATTTGCTTTTTTTTTTTTTACAGTCAAAAAAATTAATAATAATCGTACCCTGGACAAACGTCTCCTTCAGTCCTTGTGCAATATCTCAAGATTTTAAAAAGTGTGTTATGTCAGAGTTCTCACCTTTTTAGCCTCAGGTCATATGTGATAGCCAGAGGAATCTGCTTACCGCAAAGAGTATGCAAAATAGGACAAGTGAGATTATTAAGATATAAAAGACATGACATCAAGCCCTGATCATACATACTGTTTTTCCATAGCAAGATTTTTTGCCGTTTTCATTTATTTTACTGAAATGCTTCTGATTTGTTTTTTAAGGTTTTTGATTAGCAGTAAGAGAGAATGTAAATATGCTGAGAAATGGAATTATCTGAGAACTAACCAGTTGCAAAGGTTTAACAATATATAATTACACGAGTGCTACGTATTTTAGTAATAGCTTCTACAAGTAAAATCTTATATCCACATATTTCCTTATATATGTACCAATAGTTCTGTACCAATTAGAAACTATTTGTAGTATGTGGCTTTTTGCACAAAGAGGCAATCAAATTTGATAGCTTAAGCTTGGGAAATTATGCTTTTGAGATTTAAGCAGAAGCTAGGTGATACAAGAACTTTAAACTCAGGAATTAGCTGTTTGAATATGCTTCATTAATTTTAACCTACAGAGAAATTTATGTCTGCAAATGTTAAAACTGGGACTTACTGGATGTCACCAATAAATGGGAAAAATTAAATCCCAAGGAAAAGAAAATCAGAAAGAAAAAAATTTCCAGAGAAATTTGAATCTGAAACCTGCATTTATAGGCCTTGCTGCTGTCTTAAATTTTGGACAGTTTTACTAATTTATTTTGATTAACTGAAAGGAGAAAGAGTAATATGAACTAAGAAGTTGCATGAACTATTTTCTGTTGAAAAGATATTAACATCTTTTGGAAATACCATATCCAGCTTGGTAATAGAAATACTCAGTTTTAATAGATTGCCTCCTCACCAATCCCTAACATTTTACAGTGAGATTTTTTTTTTTTTTTTTTTTTTTTTTTTCCGGAGACAGAGTCTCATTCTGTCGCCCAGGCTGGAGTTCAACGGTGTGATCTTGGCTCACTGCAAACTCCGCCTCCTGGGTTCAAGCAATTCTCATGCCTCAGCCTCCTGAGTAGCTGGGACTACAGGCGTGTGCCACCAGGCCAGCAAATTTTTGTGTTTTTAGTAGAGATGGGGTTTTGCCATGTTGGGCAGGCTGGGCTCGAATTTCTGGCCTTGAACTCCTGGCCTCAAGCAATCCACCCGCCTTGGCTGGGATTACAGGCATGAGCCACTATGCCCAGCCCTTACAGTGAGAATATTTAAAGACAAATGAAACAAAGTACATATCTTTTATATATATATCTTATCAGTGGAATTAAAAACAACATCCATATACTCGCCACGTTCTTGGTAAGACTTCTAAATCATTTAAAAAATATTAAGCATAAATTTGGAAAATGGAGTTGAATTTATAGCAATTTCACAGAAATGGACATTATATTAAATAATTCCTAGGGTTTGATTTTTATATATGCCAAAGCAAGACTAGGAAATGACTGGAGCTCCTGTATTTTTGGGTTTTTTGCAACTGCTATCATTTTCAGAAACCAAAGAGAGCTCTCTTCCACTAGATGCGGCGTATTTAAGTTATGTTCATGTAATACAAGCACAGCAGTGGGACTACTTTTTCTTCCAACAGTGATTTAAATAAGAACTAGGCTGATGTCATGGATTAAGGATAATAGGCTTTTTTAAAAATTGTGTTTTTTTCACCTTAATGAAAAACATCTGGGTAAAGAAAAATTGCAATGAATTAATTCAGTTATTAGCAAAGTAGTAATTTGGTATATATTACTTTTAATAGTTTAGCTTTATATTTAATACAAAGTTTATATTCAGGTTTAATTGCTTGCTAAGACAAAATCAACAAGATGATTTGCTTACGCCCTGTTTTATGTAAGTTAGTTTCACTAAGGAAAATATTATAACTCAGAAAAAACTTTTAGTGCACCTCCATGTGCTTTTTAAGAATATATATCCCCTAAAAGAGGAGAATAACTTAGGGGTGGTGGCCAGCCAGATAACTTATTAGATTATGTTTATTGATTATATTAATATATATTACACATATGCATATATAACATACGTATCCCAAGTATATTGTAATGTTATATTTAACTGTACTTAAATGTATATGCCATTTCAAATGAGCCTAAACCATTCTTGTTTCACTAGAAGCCCAATACTTAGACGTGATCTCTTGCCCTATGACATTAAAGAAGACAGGCTTATTTCCCCTGCTTAGTTTTTGTTTGACATACATGCTGTGGCAAAAGTTATTTTCTTAATGATAGGCAGATCCGCCATGATTGTGTAGGAATTTAGTGGAAAAGTAATGGGTGATAGTTTTTTGTTGGTTTTGGTTTTGGGGTGTGCATGTGAGTACATTTGCAGGAGTGAAATTCTAATTTTTAAAAATCAGAAAATCCAGTGCAAACAGTTGATCCTGCTTTCCAGTTCAGTTTCTTTCTCCACCTTGCTGTCGTCTTGGCCACCTTCAGATTGTGCTTTGGTCAAATCAGTGTCTGATGGACCTGATTTTGTTTCATCCAAGCAGAGGGGGTACCCATTTTATGAATTCTGTCCCCAAGGATTTGAATAGCCAGTGTTATTTTCCATTAAGGTAGCTACACTCTCTTCATAATTACTGTTTTGTTGGTATGCTCTTGTTATACCACTGCAGATGCCTATGCTTTTTCACAAGTTCTTCAAAACCATTTCTCTGTTATTAAAAACAAACGAATGCAGAATTCAAAGTAAGACTGAAAAATATGAAACCTGCTACAGACCAACATTGTCAGACTCTCTCACTCTAATATAACCCCTGAAAATAATTTTTGGGAGCATGAAATTTAAGCCCAGCAGAAGCTCCAGCTACATCATGAAGGCTCTAGC